AATTTCGTTTTTCCAATTTCCAATATTTCAATAATACTGCGGTGGTCTTTGTAGCTTTTTGTATGTATAGTGTAGGATTCCTTCTTCAATGTGATGGAGATTTGCTCGGTGCTGTTTTTGTTTAATTCTCGCATGAGTTGTTGTACATTTGCCAGCTTTTGCGTGACAACTATTGGAGGCGGTCTTCCGGCCCCTTTGTCATCAGTCTTATCCGAAATTACATCCATTTCCTCTAAGTCATCCAGAAGATCGAATTTGTTGTGGGTTTCAACTCCTGTAGAAGGTTGTTGTTTCTTTGGATTAGCCATGTTCAATAAATTGTCAGATGGTCTTTTCCTTTGATGCATTTTTGTGTACATACGTCCACCTGCGCCGAAGCGCCTTCCAGAGATTGGTAACAACGTGCGCCAAACGCCTTCGTTGTTACTGTTTGCATAACGCGCGCCAAACGCCTTCGTTGATATACAATAGAGTGTGGGAAAAGATAAGAGTGCGGTTCATACGTGCGTATCGAACGAAGAACAGAATGATGATGATGATGATCATCATGCATTCAGCGGACAAAACACACATATTTATAGATTTCAGAAGCTCATGCACCGGTTAGTCAAAGAGAAGGGGAAACTAACACTTTGATTGGTCGTTTAGATCGTGGAGGGGAGCATTGTAACTAGAGAGGAAATAAAACTGTGTACTTTGACTGCTTTTCATCATTCAGACTTTGTTCTCTGTTCTGTTTACACGTAAACCACGTATCCACGTAAACCACGTATCCAAGCATCCCAATAAAGTTTTACGTGATAACATACAATGCTTAAAGATGCTTGCCATCCGTCGTTCGGCTCGTCAAGGTGGAGTAAAACGTATCTCGGGATTGATCTACGAAGAGACAATGGATGTTTTCAAAATATTTTTTGAAAACGTCATCCGTGACGCCGTAACTTACACAATAAACGCCAAGAGGAAGACCGTCACCACCATGGACATCGTCGATGCTCTAAAGCGTCAAGGCCGTATGCTATACAATTTAAAATGTTAATTTAACCAAAATCATCGCCATCATGAAAAAAACAATCGGCCCTTTTCAGGGCCACAAAATAATTATACGTTTGAATTTTTTTTTTTCAAAAAGCATACTCAACTAATAAAATTAAAGAAATGCAATTTTCAACTTTTATATTTCTATAGCATTTTAAAAATGGTTATAAAAGTTATTAGATTTGTTGAAATTTTTTAATTTGGTTAATTTAATAATTTTTATTTCTTAAATGTCTACTTTTTTAAAAATAGTTTACATGTATTAATAGTATATTATAATATTATATTATAGTGCAAATTTTTTCATGTTTATTATTTTTACTTTCAACTTCAAACTATCGATTACAAAAGTGGCATAAATAGATATTCTTATTGTCATTATGTACTTTTAATGGAGTTAGATGTAATATTATATTTATTTTTATAAGTGGCATTTCATTTATGACATCTCTATCATCTGTAAAATAAAAAGATAAAAAAAATATATTGAAGAATATATATTGTTTGGATATATATAAATTGTTGGTTAAAGATTAATGTTATGAAAAACTATTGAAAGTAATTATTAGTTATGCACATTTAAATTTAGTAGGTTTGAATACAATTTTTTTAAACATTTTTTACACTTGAGAATGTTAGAGCAATATGATTTTTCATGAGGGTATGAATTGTAGTCTTTTTTGATACTGCTGCCAAAATTATAACAACAAATTCTGTAGCGTAATAAAATTTCGTCAATCCTCAAATTGCGAGTGCAAATTTTTTCATGTTGGTCAACCCGAAGTCCAGGCTGTTTAACATCAATTCACTTAATATTGTCTTCAACTTCAAAAATTCTTTCTCTGTAAATAATGATGCCTACAAAAAGCAAGTAACCGACAAGAAGAAGAATTGCAAGAAGAAGGAAATCCTTATGGTAAACTCGCAAATTATGCTTTCTCTCAAGGGAAAAAAACTGTCAAAAAAATACACCAGCTCCAAGTAAATTTTGCATAAAACGCATTCTTAGCGTGATCTCTATATAAAATGGTATTAACCGAGTTCTAATTTATAATAATAATTTCATTTAAAAGTCAATTATTATTATTATTCTTTTTTTAATTTTAATAAGAAATTATTTAAAATTTTAATAATTTTTTTAGAAAAATAAAAAAATAATAATTTTTTAAAATAAATATTTAAAAATATTAATACTTTTATAGCAAATTAAAAAATTTAAATATTACATATATTAAAATTCTTTAAAAAAAAAAATATATAAGTATGCATACTTTGAGATAAAAATAATTTTAACGTAAAAAATAATTGATGGCCCTAAAAAGGGCCGATTGTTTATTATTTTTCTCCTTTTTTTTTTTTTTGGCATGATGGTGATTCTCTTGACATACATTGCACACATGTTGGTGTCTTGAAACAGATCGACGAGGTATGCCTCGCTGTCCTCCTGGAGAAACATAACGGCGGAGCTCGTGAAGCTTAGGTCGATAAGTTTGCGGATGAGGACCTCGGTGCTATTCTGGTAGTGACAGATCTAACAGAGAGCGACGGTTCCTGGCTCTTCTTAACAGCTTTGGTGGCGAGTTGTTTCCATAACGCTTTCCAACCAGTTGATTTACGGGCAGTTTGCTTTTTACGAACAATACCTTCGACGTTGAGATTACGAAGGAGAAATGAAGAATAATGCATTCAGCGGAAAAAACACACATATTTATAGATATCAGAAGCTCATGCACCGGTTAGTCAAAGAGAAGGGGAAACTAACACTTTGATTGGTCGTTTAGATCGTGGAGGGGAGCATTGTAACTAGAGAGGAAATAAAACTGTGTACTTTGACTGCTTTTCATCATTCAGACTTTGTTCTCTGTTCTGTTTACACGTAAAACTTATTCTCTGGAAAAATGACTGGTCGTGGAAAGGAAGGAAAGGGATTTGGGAAACGAGTATCCAAGCATCCCAATAAAGTTTTACGTGATAACATACAACGCTTAAAGATGCTTGCCATCCGTCGTTCGGCTCGTCAAGGTGGAGTAAAACGTATCTCGGGATTGATCTACGAAGAGACAATGGATGTTTTCAAAATATTTTTTGAAAACTTTGAGATAAAAATAATTTTAACGTAAAAAATTATTGATGGCCCTAAAAAGGGCCGATTGTTTATTATTTTTCTCCTTTTTTTTTTTTATTTTGGCATGATGGTGATTCTCTTGACATACATTGCACACATGTTGGTGTCTTGAAACAGATCGACGAGGTATGCCTCGCTGTCCTCCTGGAGAAACATAACGGTGGAGCTCGTGAAGCTTAGGTCGATAAGTTTGCGGATGAGGACCTCGGTGCTATTCTGGTAGTGACAGATCTAACAGAGAGCGACGGTTCCTGGCTCTTCTTAACAGCTTTGGTGGCGAGTTGTTTCCATAACGCTTTCCAACCAGTTGATTTACGGGCAGTTTGCTTTTTACGAACAATACCTTCGACGTTGAGATTACGAAGGAGAAATGAAGAATAATGCATTCAGCGGAAAAAACACACATATTTATAGATATCAGAAGCTCATGCACCGGTTAGTCAAAGAGAAGGGGAAACTAACACTTTGATTGGTCGTTTAGATCGTGGAGGGGAGCATTGTAACTAGAGAGGAAATAAAACTGTGTACTTTGACTGCTTTTCATCATTCAGACTTTGTTCTCTGTTCTGTTTACACGTAAACCACGTATCCACGTAAACCACGTATCCAAGCATCCCAATAAAGTTTTACGTGATAACATACAACGCTTAAAGATGCTTGCCATCCGTCGTTCGGCTCGTCAAGGTGGAGTAAAACGTATCTCGGGATTGATCTACGAAGAGACAATGGATGTTTTCAAAATATTTTTTGAAAACGTCATCCGTGACGCCGTAACTTACACAATAAACGCCAAGAGGAAGACCGTCACCACCATGGACATCGTCGATGCTCTAAAGCGTCAAGGCCGTATGCTATACAATTTAAAATGTTAATTTAACCAAAATCATCGCCATCATGAAAAAAACAATCGGCCCTTTTCAGGGCCACAAAATAATTATACGTTTGAATTTTTTTTTTTCAAAAAGCATACTCAACTAATAAAATTAAAGAAATGCAATTTTCAACTTTTATATTTCTATAGCATTTTAAAAATGGTTATAAAAGTTATTAGATTTGTTGAAATTTTTTAATTTGGTTAATTTAATAATTTTTATTTCTTAAATGTCTACTTTTTTAAAAATAGTTTACATGTATTAATAGTATATTATAATATTATATTATAGTGCAAATTTTTTCATGTTTATTATTTTTACTTTCAACTTCAAACTATCGATTACAAAAGTGGCATAAATAGATATTCTTATTGTCATTATGTACTTTTAATGGAAATTTTCTTTTTTATCTACTATTTAATCGTAAAAGCGAGAATTTCGTTAAATAAACAATTTGTATAAGTGTATGTATTGTAATTTTTTTGTCATATTATTTTACAAAAATAAATATTAAATTCATATTTTTAAATATGTATTTTTTTGTTATAAGATTTTTAATATAAATTAAAGTTAATTTTGATTATTGAAGAAATCAACAAATATATTAGAAACATTTTGATTAAGAACTAGAAAATATTTTCATATCATAAAAATAATGAGAGTGAGATACACCATAAAAAAAGTAATATTGATTTAATGCGGTTTTCTCTAAAATGAATGCATATTTTTCTCTAATATTTAGTATAAAAATTTATATTCTTTTTTTAAGATGATTTACCTCTTGCAAAAAAACCTCTTACAGAGAGAATATTATAGTAAAACTATGTGAAGTAACAATATTTTTACATTCCAATTTATAAAATTTGATTAAAATATGAAAATTAAATATTTGATATTAATATTTGAAAGAAAATTGAAAAAAAAAAATAACCGTGACAGTCGTGTTGTAGGAATGCTCTTTTAGAAGTGAACGTTACAGTGAGCATAGCAATAGTGTGTCAGTACTCTTGTAACAGTTTTGTAGAGGAGAGTCTAGAATAGAGTAAATGTTGGTGTTAACGCGTTGATACAAACGCGTCTTCCTATGTATTCTATATGGACGAGCGCGTTACTATCAGCGCGTTCGACTCTATTTTGGACTCTCCTTAGCAGTGAGAACATGTAGCACTCGTAACAGTCATCATGTAACAGTGCTGTTGTTAAAGTCGTAGCATTCGTAGCGTGTTCAACTCGTTCGCAGTAGTGATTCATATCAATGATGTGTGTTGCATAGTGTATGTGTAAGTATTTCGTAACAATAGAGTAAGTAAATTGCTCGTAGCAGTGATATGGCAGTCGTTCGTAGCAGTAAATAGTAGCAATGAATGTATAACAGTTATTTGTAGTATTAAATGTAGCAGTGGTCGTCAGTCAGTCAGTTCTTTGTAGCATAGAATTTTTTAACAATGGTGTGTGGTATTTGTCTAAAGGAGTGCCTCATAGCAATAAGTGTAACATTAATAGGTAACAATGATAATATAATTAGATTTGATATATTAAATTTAAAGATAAATGATGTTGAAAAAAAATTGTTTTTTATTCACCAACTTTATCATACTACTACTATATTATATTTTTGTACATATTCTTAAATATTCGTCAATCATACATCATATGTGTGTTTATGAACTGAACATAATTTATTTCTATCAATATTACTATCGCATATAATCTTACATTACTAATTGAATATTTTTTATAACTTATTAACTAAATGAAATACAACGAAAATTATAAAGCAGTCGTCTTGGAAGCAGAGGTAGAGAGAACTCATTTTGCGGAAGTCATTACATCTTAAAGTAAAGTGATGCAGCAGAAATCCTGGTAGTCATCATAAGAAAAATCCAATGCATCTTATTGGAAGCGAACACGGGACCCATGATGTTGGAAGCAAGCACGCTATCCACTATGCCAATCGTACAGCCGACAAAAATTTTCAAAATGTTTCTCATACTTGACAGTTTGTTGATGAAGCAAAAATATTTTTTAGAAATTGCATCACTTATAATCAATAATTAGTAATCAGTGATTCATAAAAGGCTAATGTGTATCAGTGAGTAGTGAGTCAATGATTCGTATAAGTCGAATTTGCAGAATACCTAAAAGATGAATTCGTAAATGCATGTACTAAAATAGTATATATGTAATATAATTTACTTATATAAAATTTTATTTAAAAAAAATTGTTAATAAAATAATAGTGGTAAGATATATGCAGTTTGTATAAAAATTAAAAATAATTCTTTCGTTAAAAATAATTATTGGCCCTGAAAAGGGCCGATTGTTAATTATTTGACGTGTCAGAGTCCGAGAGCGTCACTCGGCTGAGTAACAGATGACGGCTAGAGAGTAGCATCAACGACGACGACGAGACAAGCACATTGGCGTCTCTCGAAATGAGAGACGTGTTGATAGGAAGACTGGCGAGGGAAGAGTGAGAGAAAAAGAAAGAAACGCTGGATATTTACGCGAGTCTGCCGCTAAGGAGTCTCCCACCCTGCTCCGCGCAGAGTGGAGAGGGAGAGAGAGAAAAAGTGTGCGCTATTGGCCCAGAGTGGCGGCGAGAGCGCGTGGCCAATCACGTCACACGGTGCTGCTGGCGCCTGCGCGGTTTGTCCGATAGAATTGGAGCGATAGTTTATTCGAGCTGAAAACACGGAGCGTGTGAGACGGGCCCACTCGACTCTAAGTTAAAATGATGTACCGTGCCTTTGACTTTCAATCAACTTTATACCGTGCCTCCATTACCAAAAGAAATATAAATTTTAATGCTACATAAAAATCCAATTATTTTTATAAATAATAAACAATTCTTCAACGAAATTTAATTATTTTTATAAACTTGAATAAAATTTGTTTCATGAATTCAATTATTTTTATAAATAATAAAATTTTTCTCCGACATTCTATTATTTTATTGAAATTTTAATTATTCATTTAATTATTATTTTTATCATTTATTTTTATAGAATATTTTAATGTAATTCATCAATAAATGTAATTATTATTAAAAATTTTATTAAAATTTTTGCCTATTTAATGCATAAAAATATATTTAAAAGAATACAAAATTATACTATCTAATAATAAGGGGTGAATGAAAGTTGATTTGCACTTTAATGCCCTTAAATTCAAAAGCAATCCCATTTTTTTTCCACAATATTAATGAATTCTTTTTCTATTGTTAACTTGTTCATTTCTATCAAATTCAATTCTTCATAACTACATGATCAGAATGTAAATTAATTTTAATTCAATTTAAGGGAATTATAAATTGCGGAAATAATAGCTTTTAATTAAATAGAATTCTTTAAAAAGCATTAAGAGATATTAAAATTCTTGTTAATTGGTTACAAAAAATTAAATTGTTTAAAAATAAACAAGTTAACTATAGAAAAGAAATTCATTGAGATTGCAAACAAAAAAGGAATTAATTATGAAGATTAGGGCATAAAAATGCCCTACACATTTTAATTCACTTCTTATTACTGAGTATATATTGTTAATGCAACTTATTTAAAATAAATTTTCTTTATTTTCATTCACTTATTGTTTTATAAAATTTTTAACTAAAATTGAAATTAATTATTATTATTATTATTATTATTATTAATTTGTTTCAAAATTTATTAATTTTTATATTTATATCCTTCTAACAGAATCAAAAAAAAAAAAAAAACAACAAACAATAGATGAAGGCTATGTATCTATAATCTATGATGAGAATGTACATTGCAGTCAATTGTCAGTAATATTGACTATGGAAATTCCCGTAGAAGGAGTAACAAAAGTTTTTAAAGCCAAAATTATAAAATTTCAAGATTTACAGAAAGAAGAAGATTTGTGGACAGCAAATGGAACACTAAAGGATGAAACAGGAGAATTGGATGTAACTTTCTCTTCAGAATTTCTTAATAAATTGATTGGAATGTCTGCCTCACAACTTAACGACATTAAAAAAGACAAAAATTACTACAAACAAAATAAAAGTACAATACAAAATCATCTCAAAAATATTACCAAACAGTTATTAATGTACAACGATAAAATTGAAGTAGAAATTAACAATGAAAAAATAATTTTAAACTATTTAAATTTTGAAAAATTAACGAATCTGTAAATTTCTTAAAAGAAGTAAATAAAAGTAAAAACGAATATAAATATATTATAATAAACAAACAATTAGTTGTTTAATATCAATGATAACCTAATCATTACAACCTTAACCACTTCAAAGGTTTTAATATAAAAATGTCAGTAATAAGTCAGTAATATTACAATACAGGACTCAGATATTATAATTTTTTAGATTTTTTATTAAATAATAAAACTTTTATCAACCGAATTCAAAAAATTTCGACTGTTTGGACATTTCTTTTAACCTTTTTTTTTGGGAAAAAAGAAGGTTAAATAATGCAAATTTTTTTAAATTTTTAAGCAAAATATAAAAAATAACTGTAGATAATTCTTTCAAATATTATTTTCGAAAATTTTTTCTAATTTAAGTTTTCAAATACAATATTAAAAACATTTTCAATAAATAAAATATAGTAAAATTAATTAAATATAAATCCCTTTTACAAGTATTTTATTATAATATTGAAAAATTAACAATTAAAAAATTCTTATTGAAAACTTTGGAAATAATTCAATTTTCAAAAATTGTTATAAACAATCTTCAAGAAAAAATTCGATTATTTTTCAATTGAAATTTATCAAAAATTTAATTGTTTTTTTTTTTAATATTCTTTAATAACTAAATTATTTATTTGATTAATATATTTTTTTTTACTCCGGTTCACTTTAACGGAATAAACATCAATCATTCATTGATGCTACATTATTTTAATTAACAATAGAAGTGCAAATTTTGGTCAACAGCCTACTTTCATTCGGTTGGGCAGACTCCGGCCATAGTCGGGCCAATGTTTGGCAAAACTATGGCAGCCAAAGTTTAAAAAACTAATTCTACCTGATCAGGGCGACTTTCGGCTGATTAAGAACGATGGAGTCTGATTTTTGACGCAAATTAAAAAAATTAAAAAAATATATATATATTTGTCCAAGTATGAAAAAATAAAACAACCGATACCAGAGTCGAGCTAGCAAATTGAAATTAAGTTTTCTAATCTCTGGATGTCATAGTTTTAACGACCATCTACCAGAATATGGCCAGAATCTGTCTGAACAACTTCAAAAACATTTCTTATACAGCCATGGTAAAAATTAAAAGTTTTTGCGTTAATTTTTAATTAAAACTGAAATGAAATAAACAAAAAATTATAAACGTTAACTGATTTATTGATCATTATGAATTAAAAATTTCATTTTATTGTAAGTTTAACCTTATAAAACCAATTTTTGATTTTAGGGTTTCATGTTATCGTAGCGTAGACGGAAAAATTTTTTTGTTTTAAATTATGTATTTTTTACCTCGGAACGGCGTTTTTACAGACAAAATATAGCAACGGCTCATTTTATCGGCAACAGCTACAGATATTACAGAGACAACTTGTAAAAATGACAAATGTTTTAGACATTGGCGTACAGCGGATGAGCTATTAATAGGCATCTCATGTCCCGATGTTGAAAATCAACCAATGCAATAATTAGCGTATTAGATTTTGGTGCGTTAGGTTTCGAGTTCAATATCTGCAAAAGTTAAAAAATTTTATTTTATATTTATGTGTAAGATAACGTTTAGTGTTAAGATTTATGCAATAAATTAAGTAAATAAATAATTAAAAATATCAACCAAAACCTGTTAATTGTAAAGCTAATATTTTTTTTTGCAAACGGTCGGCCAACCTTTAGCTGACAAGGTAGGCACGACTATCCACTTGGTCGGAGCGATCATGGCCCGACAAATTATTAGCACATACGTTTATGTAACTGAAACTGAGTATTATTCCAAAACGATCTACAACGTCTCTGCACTGAGAGACCTTTTGAACTGTAGCGGAACAACGTATGAGATAGCAGATACACTATGGTTTTAGTGCGCTGCGATACAATTTTGGGCGCGTGACAGTCTAAAATATTGGTTAAAAACTCACCGAAATAGTGAGGATACCGTCATTTGTTTGCAGCTAATCAACTTTTGTACTGTAACGCGCTCAAAATTGTACCGCAGCAAAACCAAAACTATAGTCCTGCAGCGTACCACAAAAATGTTTAATAGCAGCCTATCGAAAGTATGCTGCTGACCCCCAAAGGTCTCTCAGTTTGTATGAAGAAGTTT